GCTGTACATACATGATAATTTTTCTCAATGTCAGGTTGTACCAGTGACAGTGTGTTTAACTACCAGCAATGTTAGATGACTTAATTGAAGTGGACATCTAGGATTGAGTTTATCTATGCATAAGCATTGTCAAGTATAACTATCACAGCACTTACAAGAAGTGATCATTTGTCAGGTGCATTCATATGTAAGTGTTAAAATATGGGGAAAATGTGGCTAAAAATTCATTTCTTGGATATTTTAATTTATTATCATATTTTGTCTTTTCTGTTTACTCTAAAGATTTCTTTTTTTTTTTAACCTTTCTTTTCCTGCCTTCTATTAAATTGTTTGGGCATTCTTTTTCTTTTTTTCCTCTGTGGATTTTGAAGTTATAAACTTTATGTCTGATCATGGTTTCTCTTAAAATTATGAACTTAAAGTCTTGAACTTTATTCCTTTTAATAGTTTCTCTTAACATTTCAGTATTTTAAATGGAATGAACCATAAAGCTAATTAAGGTCTTTGCTTTTCCAGGTAATATACCACAAGGATATTATAGCACATTGATTGTTTTAATCTATGTTGTACATATTTTTTGTTAGTGATTTTAGTCTAGGTTGCAGTAGACTGCCAAAACAGAACTCATGATTATTTTTTGTCCTCATTTAATTTCGCTAGCTAGAATAGGGCATGGCTTACAGTAGAAATAAAACTTTATTTCATTAATTAACTGATTATTGTAACATTAAGTAACAAAAACAGTCTGTTTGTTCCTACAAAACAGCTATCTCTAAGAGCTTTGTAGTCAGCTGATTTTAGATTTAGGTTTCCAATGTAACCTGACTTAGAAGTTTATAGAGACCATTGTATAGCTGTCAGTGACAAGTCTGGGATTATTTCAGGTGCATGAACATGGTGATGTTCATATGAAGTAATGTGATAAGATTCAAATTATAAAGTAGTAACAATTATAAAGTAGTGATTTCTGAAATAAGAAAGAAGTAAAGGCTTGGACTGGTTGATATCTTTTTGTTCTAATGGTAACATAGTAAGTTATTTATAAAGTTGAAAATCCTCTTTTCCTTCTGCACTTTTCAGCTTCTTACATTCTGTTAGGTTTAAAGATTTATTTGCCACTGTAGTCATTTGCTTTTAGATAAGAGCTGATAAGTTTCTACTGTCTACCTCAGGAAGCAAAGCCATTTAGGTCCTGTTCTATGTGAACTAACCTTGGGGCACGACTATTTCTCCCTGGCCTTGGACATTATACTAGTACAAAAGTTTGTTGTAGAGTGGAAAGATAGGTTTTCATACCCCTTCTTCCACTCCAAGACTGTGCCCCTTCCCTATCTATGCTTTCTTCCATTTTCTTCTTTGAAACTGGGAAATCTGGTCCAGGAATTCTAGCAGTTTCTTTGGAACTATTGCATTGGTAAAAATGAAATAACTACATGAATGGAGATTAAAAGAGAATTTTAATTCATATAAACAGTTTCCTTGTTATTGTAAAAAAGTCAAGGGTTCACAGTTTGATATCAACTACTATCGTCAGCTTTCAGTTGCTGTGACAAAATAAAGATATATAAAAATTAAAATAAGGAAAGTTTTTTTCAGTTCATGGTTTCAGAGGTTTCAGTCTACGGTCATGGACCTGTGTTGGCATATTACATCATGATGGCTGAAGCACATGGCAGAGAGGGCTGCTCAGTTCATGGTGCCACGGAGCAAAGAGAAAGAAAGAAGGAAGGTGTTAATGGTTTGTGTTTAAATGTCCCCTCAAAGCCTCATGCTGATGAGATGGGACTTTCTTTTTCAGAGGTAGTTTAATCTGGAATGTGTGATGCTGGGGTTAAGGGCATGTGATTGCTAAACCCCCACATGTGAGCAATTACTTTGGCACCAGCCTAATCCCTGTAGTCGGAATAAGATAAAAGGGGAAGAAAGATGCCGGTAACTCCCTTGCTACCTTTGCTACCTTGTGTGTGCCATGTTGTTTATCCTCTGTGATGCTTGTTTGCCATCCCAGCCTCAGAGTCAGCTGATTATGGATTGAAACCTCTATGAACTGTAAGCTAAATAAACTCCTTCCCTCCTTTAACTTTGGGTGTTGGGTATTTTGTCTCAGCAGCTAGAGAAAAGTAACTAACACAGAAGGGCTGACTCCCAGTATCCCTTTCAAGAGCAAATCACCAGTGACCTCACTTCCTTTCTTCCACATCCCACCTCTTAAAGTTTCTGCTCATTCCCAGTAGCACCATAAATTGGAGACCAAGCCTTTTAGTATCAGCATCTTAATTATTCTCTTTGTTGCTGAGACACAGTGCCACAACTTATAGGAGGGAGGATTTATTTTGGCTCAGTTTGTAGAGGTTTCAGTCCATAGTTGGCGGGAACCAAGATGGAGTGACATGGCAGAGGAGGCTTGCTTACAGCATGGCAGGAAGCTGTAGGTGAAGAGAAGAGTGGGAAAGTTATAAACTCTTAAAGACCATGCCCCCAGTGAGCCACCTCCTTCAAATGTGCTTCACCTCCCAACATCAAATTTAGCTATAAACTCATCAGTGGACTAATCCACTGATTAGTATCAAGCTCCTGTGATCCAGTCACGTCCCCAAAACCCCATCTGTGAGTGCATGAGGCTTTGGGGGACATCTAGATAGAAACCGTAACAACCAATCATGGGGGTGGGCATGAAAGATCCAAACTATAACATTTTGCATTGCTGACACCAGAAACTTTGAAGAATATATAAGAAAATTGAACTTATATTCGCTCCATTGAAAAGTTTATATATTTCTATAAGTTTATGATGAATTTTTTACATCTAAGATGTAAAGTAATAAACAAGAATAGTTTACAGATTTAAAACAAGTTAGAAAAGTATTAAGAGTAATAAAGAGTACACAGCATTTTAATAAATACACTAAAACTGTCTGAAGAATTTAATTTTTTTCGTAGTGTAAATACCAATTTTCATTTGTATCCAATAATTGTTCAACCTTTTTTCCTTAAAATTTATCCTTACACCTGTCACAGTGCCTGCCATATTCTAGCTTCTTAATAAATATTGGCTAGTTGAATATATGAAAGGTTAAGTGGACGATGGGTGAATAAAAGAATGAATGACAAAATTTGAGACTTATACAATAGAAATAAATATACATATAAACTTATTAAGATTTAGAAATGGAGTATGTAATCCTTTTAGATAATGTAGAGCAATAGTCTCCAACCTTTTTGGCACCAGGGACTTTTTTCATAGAAGATAATTTTACTTTTGACTGGGATGGGGGAGTGTTGGTTTTGGGATGATTGAAGTGCCTTACATTTATTGTGTACTTTATTATTATTATTATTATTACAGTATTAAAAATAATGCATATTAATAATGCAGAATTAATGGGAGCCCTGAGCTTGTTTTCCTGGAACCCATAGTCACATGTAGTGGTGACGGGAGACAGTGACACCCAATGTGTTTTGCTTATGTTCAGTGTACACGATAATCCCATTTTGTTTGCTGTCACTGCAGAAATCCCTGCTTTACAATGATGGGATGTTAGAAGTGGAGGCAGGCTTTTCAGTGCTTTTGTGGCAATCTCAAGATATACTCTACCTTGATTTGATCCAGAACTAGGGAGATTTGAAGTTGTCATTTGCCATCTTAAGCAATTGATCCTCTTCTAGCACAAGTTGATTCACTTGGTATATTCGCAATGGGTTTTAGATCTATTCCTAGATTGAGGGTCTTTTGTGGTTCAGAAGTAATGCTGAAACTATTTTCAAAGCTCTGATAGGTGATCATGCACCAGCTGTGAAAAAGAAGGCTCTGGGTCAGACTCTTTCAAAATCTTTGCTAATGTTTGAAACATTAGCAAAAATCCAAATGTTTACTTGTTACTCCCATAATTCCAGTGAGGCTTTGAATTATCTACCAGCTTGAACATAGTTGTTGTTCTCCTTTGAAGTGACATATTGAGTTGCTTGAGCAGGTTGAATATATCACACTAATAGATAAGTTTTACGATCCATTCTGTGTCACTGAAATGTGCTGACAGTGGTGGCTGTTTTTCTAAGTAATATCTGGAGCAGCTCTTGTTACTTAAAAACTGACCAGTAATCACCTATCTAGACCTCTCACATGCACAGTTCACAGTAGGGCTCCTGCTTCCATGAAAATCGAATGCCTCTGCTGATCTGATAGAAGGTGGAGCTCAGGCAGTAATGCCAGCAATGGAGAGCAGCTTCAAATATAGATGAGGCTTTGCTCATGAGCCACAGCTCACTTCCTGCTGTGTGGCCCAGTTTCTAACAGGCCATGGACTAGTGGGGGACTGCAAATATACAGGGAAGGATTGGTTCATTCTAAAATTTAAAAGCTGGATTTTTAAAAAACTTGAATTAAACTATCTAAAATATAAATTAAAAAATAAAATGAAGATAATAAGCTTATAAGATACATATTGTTTAATGTAGGAATAATTGATAGCTAGGTTCAGAAGTTGAATTTTAAAGATATTATTCTCATTTTCACCTGATTTATTCTAGAATTTTGTCAAGTAGAAATTATTTCAAATGTTTTACTTAAATCAATTTTCTTTTCTGAATCATCATAGATTCTCATTTAGTGAAACTGAATCAATGGATTTTACTATATATCACCTATTTAGTTTAATGCCACATGTCCAAGACATATTTTCCTCTACATTTTGGATCTATGTGATTAATATCACTTGTTGGTTTTCATGTTTGCATTTTTGAGTATGGTTTATGCTTAAGAGTATGGGCACAATGTCAGACTAATCTGAGTGTCAATCCCCAGCCTACTTTTTCTTGGTAAGTTGTTTTAACTTCTTAAACCTTATTAGCTTCTGTGTAAAATGCAGATGATACTACTATAAGAGTTTATTGGGTGAATACAGTAAACCAACATATATAAGTGCTTAGTACAGTCTCTGGGAAATGGTAGGTACTCAGTAATTGGCAACAACTATTATTTTTCTGTTTTGCTCTTTCTGCAGCTTTCTCCACAAATAAACAAGACAGAGATGCAAGACATGTAATAAAAGTGGTAAGTGTTACTTCTAAATTTATATTTCACATGTATTTGACATTTTCCTTTATTGCTTTATTTTTTAAAAAATGCTTTCCTTTATTTTTATTATTTACACTTATTAATGAACCTAGTGGTTGTAATATATTTTTACCTTATTAAAATGTTAAGACTGGAAAATCATTGTTCTTTCTTGCTGTGTATCATTGGTACCCTATCTAGAAATTTGCACTTTCTCCACCCTTCCCTCCTTCCTTCCCCTCTCTAGGTGGTAAGGTCCTTAAAGACAACCATAAGATTTTATTTCTGTTTGCATACTCTGTGTGCCTATACAAAGGATAAAATAGAGCAGACATTCAGTAAAGATTATGTGTGAACCCCCAGGGTAATTTCCAGTGTGTCCACCCTGATGTACATGTTGGTGTATAGTGAATACAATTCTCAGTGCTTTTAGTATGGTTTTCAATAAGGCTACTTTCATGTATAAGACTATATGGGGATCAGAGTACAATATGTTGTTTAGAAATGAGATTTTCAAGTTTATTTAGTGTTTTCTGAGATTTTTAGTGGAAATCTGGTGCCTATGTTTTGTGAAAACTGATTCAAGTACTATTATGTATTACATATGTGTACTCATTTTCACAGTTGAAATACCAGTTCCATCTTTAGGATTATTTTTTTCCTAGTACAATTAATTATTCTTTTCTTTCATAGGAATATCAAGAAAATGGACCATTATTTTCAGAACTTAAATTTTATCAGAGAGCTGCAAAAAAAGACTGTAGTAAGTAAAATTAGCAAAGCAAACTAATTCTATATATGTGCTTTCTAAAGTCAGTGTTAATATTTTGGTCTTTTTCTGGGCTTCTGGAAGATTCTTTTCCATAAGAAATTTTATTATAAAGTGATATAGTTAACTGTTACAACATATAAAAGCAAGACAGATGGTATACTGATCTTGATATGGCATACATAATTGGTTATATATTTTAAGTCATAGTTGTTTCTGTTCCTTTACATAAAATTCTGAGTTGTTGATCTAAGCTACAAAGAGTACTCTAAGACAGTAGGATGAAGTTACTTCTTTTTTTTTTTCGAGACAGTGTCTCACTATGTAGTTTATACTGGCCCAGAATTCACTTTGTGGACCAGGCTGGGCTTGAACTCATAGTGATCCTTCTGCCTCAGCCTCTCGAGTGCTAGGACTACAGGTGTGCACTACCATGCCCAGCAAAATTATTATTATTATTTTTTTTTTTTTTACAAAGAATCATTTGGATAGGGAGGATATAAGGAAAATACATAAAATAGGAAGTATATATACAAAAAGAATGATTATGAAATGGATTAGAGTAAGGTGCATGAAAATGATTAAATATTAAGATATTCAATAAAATAGAAGCTTGAATGTTGGGAAATTAATTGGAACTGGATATCATGTATAAGAACTAGTAGAAGAAGTGAAGTGAGTATGAGCAGAGATGAAAAATAAAGCATTTTAAAAAATGCTACGTGACACAGGTGGGTTACGTAAAACATTAAGGAAGTTGATAGGACTAATGACTAGTTTAGTCATGTTTAGGAGAAAGAATGATGGATCTGGCCTAAATAATTACCTTTGTTTTTCTTAATAAAGCCTCCTAGACATTAAGCCTATAGCCTTTACTAACTGCTTAAACTAAGAGTGACAAATAGAACCCATTAAACTTGATTGCATATCAGTAAAGCTGTCTTAAACATGAAGCACATATGGTAGAAAAGTGAAAAAAATGATTAAGCTGTCTGATTATTTAAGAGGATTTGAAGTTTTCTAAGCTAAATTTTAATCAGAAACAATTTCTATATAACAATTTCTGAGTGAAATGATATTTCTGCCCAATCTCTATCTTTTGCACTATATGGCTTTAGATTTTGAAGTATAGGTAATAAGGGGAAAAAGACCATCTCTGTACTAATCTTTGGGGTTAACATATGTTATGTTAGAAGTTTAGCTAGCATGTAAGGAATTGATTTTCTCCATGAATAGAAACATTTGTGAATACAATACTAATGTATTTTATAAGTCTGTAACTATTTTTGTTTCAATTGATAAAATTTTAAAAGTCTCAGGAGTGTGTGTGTGTGTGTGAATTATAGTGGCAACAATTAGAATTTGGCCATTAAATAGGCATATAGATTTTTTTAAGATTTTATATTTAGGAAGTTCTAATTACTATTTTGGTTAGCTAAATAAGTCAGCATCTATGCAAAGCTAAAAACCTTCCTTTCTAAATAATATGAATCATTTTTCTTTTAAATTTGTCTTTGCAGTCAAAAAGTGGATAGAACTCAAAAAACTTGATTATTTAGGAATTCCTCTGTTTTATGGATCTGGTATGACTGAATTCAAGGGAAGAAGGTAAAAATTATTATTAAATATTATAATCAAATATCAAATTATATAATCAATTACATATTATAATCAAGTAACTGTTCCTCATGTGATCTAGTAGATATATGTTGCTATGTATCAAATGACCCAAAACATGGTGGCTTATAACAACAAACTTAAAATAACTTAGTTCCTATGGGTCAGGAATCCTCTAGTGGCTTATCAGGATACCTCTAGCTCAAGGTCCCATAGAAAGTAGTTGACTGTGTGCTGGGCTGCGGTCACCTCAGAGCTTTACTGGGGAAGGAACCAGTGTCTCATTTTAAAAGACCATTCTCTTTTCATTAAGACTGTGGGAATGATTCAGTACAGCATTCTCTTTTAGAAAACAAACTGCAGGCTAAACATGGAATAGTATCTATTTACAAAAGAATAACAGGATTATTGATGTACATTCATTCTATAAAAGTTCGGATTGCATCATGCATGGTTGTTAGGTGGGAGATATTTTTCTTTGTTTCAAATTCACTAATAGACAGTTTCAAGCATTATTATCTCAGGGAGATCTCATTTTGATCTCTTTCTTATAGGTACAGGTTTATGGTAATGGAAAGATTAGGAATAGATTTACAGAAGATCTCAGACCAGCATGGAACTTTTAAAAAGTCAACTGTCCTGCAACTAGGTCTCCGAATGGTAAGAAGGAATAACTTATTTCACATTTTCCATTTTTGGATTATTTGCTTGTTACATTGTACAAATCTTCCCCCTTTGTGGAATTATCAGAAAATGAAGGATTATTGCCCTAGAAATGTCAGTTATTGAGGATAGAAGCTACTTTAGTGAAATTGATAACAGTAGGCTCTATAACTGACAGAATGTGCTGTGTTTGGCACTATAGACTCAATTAGGCATTGGTTTTACAGTCTGGTTTTTTTTATTCCTCTCAGCTTTATTTTACATATCAGAATACGCTTGTATTGCTGTAAGAATAACTTCCTTTTTGTTACTTATATTTGTTACAATGCAAGTTCTGGCCATATTATATTATTTTTTATACTAAACATGTAATGATATAAAGGTGCTTTGAGGTTTTTAGTATGAATTAGGGTTGGTGGCAGTAATTAATTGTGACAATGAATAATATATACTTTGATCAATAAGCAATGAAATCTTAATAGCAGACAGGAATACATTTGTTTATAGCACATGCAGTATTTTTCTTATATTGTATTTAGTTTGTGTCTCATTTTATTGTTTCCATTTTAAGTAGAATGAAACTACCACGCTCGGCTGTGATGTGTCAGATGGAACTTATTAATTTTCCTATTCATCCATTCATCCATTTAACAAGCCAGTAAATGTTTATTGAACTCTAGGTGTATGTAGCATGTAAGGCTAAAGGTCTTTAAATATGAAGCCCAGAATTTTTCTAATACTGTACACAGGAGGAATGCTCATGGACATGGTATTTTGTTCTGAGGTCCCAAGACTTGATTTCTAATTATTGCTTGGGTGAAAAATTTCTGACTGAGCTTTGTGATTATTTCACTGTACATCTCTGATATTATGCTGTGTAATTCCTCTTTGTGTAATGGGATTTGGCCACTGGACTGTCAATAGTATAGATAGCCATTGTTGAATTCTGGGTTTTGTTCCTCCTTTGGAAGTTAAAACACTTGATATTTGAAGATCAATTTTATTCAACTTTTTTCCAGGATGAACAAGCAGAAATACTATTTTAGAACAATTAAACTGTATTTGTGAAATAGATCACTTTGTCATTGTTAATAAGAAAAACCTATGTTAGTCTATATTTAAAATATCCAAGTTGATCATGAGTTCTAAATAGCAGTATAAAGCCATCAGTATAATGTTATATTCTTTGGTTTTTTTCACAGCTGGATGTACTAGAATATATGCATGAAAATGAATATGTTCATGGTGATATAAAAGCAGCAAATCTACTTTTAGGTTATAAAAATCCAGATCAGGTAAATACAGTATTTAACTTTTCTGTTCAAGAAGGGTTCTCAAAACACCATACTGAGGGGCTGGGGATTTAGCTCAGTGGTTCCACTGCCTGCCTTGCAAGGGCGAGGTTCTGAGTTCCATCCCCAGTACCAAAAAAAACCACAACAACAAAAAAAACAGAACACACCATACTGAAATATTGTACAATAAATTGTTAATCTTGAAGAGTTTAAAAATGAGGGGTTAACATGATGAATGTTTTAATTTATCTTACTTTGATTATCTAATTTAATCCTTGCACTAAACTAATGAGTAATTATGATGAAGAAACTGAAAGTCAGAGGGTTAAGTCATTTGTTAATGGGGACATAGTTAAGGAATGGCTAACCAGGAATCTGTGTTTCTGACCAAATATCATATAGATAAACAAAGAACCATCAAAATGTAGTGAGAGAAGGGATGGATTTATACAGTGGGGGAAAAAAAGATAGCTGTTACAATATCTTCTTTTCTCCTACAATATAACCAGTTAAGTTTTAAATAGAGAAGCACTTCCATTAGAACTTTCTGTGATGATGAAAGTATTCTGTGTTTGTCCAGTATGGTAGCCATTAACAACATGTAGCTATTCAATACTTGAACCATGGGTAGTACAGTACCATCTGTTGGCAAGTATTGGAGAAATAGGTATTCTTATTCATTGTGGGTAGGAATGTAAAATAGCACAGCCACTTTGGAACACAGTTTTCACAGTTTCTTAGGAAATTAAAACATTCTTACCATAACATCCACTAATTATGTTCCTTGGACTTAAAACAAACCCAAAGGAGTTAAAAACATATATACCCAAAAAACCTTTACATAGATGTTTAAGGTAGTTTAATTCATACGTGTCTGTATGATTCTCTCTAATGTTCTGAAAAATGTAAAACTATGGAGACAGTAAAAACATCAGTGATTACCTGTGATTAGAAGGGAGGGAAGGACAAATAGGCCGAGCACAGAAGGTTTTTAGGACAGTGAGACACTTCTGCATACTATAATGGTTGATGTCATAATTTTTTTGTCAAGACACATAAAGTGAAAACCAAGAGTGAACTTCAGTGTAAAATGTGGTTGGGTAATAATGATGTGTCAGTATAGGTTTATCTGTTATAACAAATGCACTACACTGGTCAGGGATGTTGATAGTGAGGAGACTGTGTCTACAAGCTGGAGGTATATGGAAACTCACTGTACTACCTCACTTATTTCTACCTAAATTTAACCTAAAACTTCTCTACAAAATTAAAGTCTATTATTAAAATGTGACTAAGGAACTGAATTTTTAATGCAACATAATTTAAATAACTACATGTAACTAGCAGTTATTATAACAACAGAGGTTTAAAGATTTAAAAACTTGACTGTATAAAATATTAGAAATAATGTAACTGAATATTTAACTGACCTCTGGCATGAACATGGAAACTTGTAAGTAAAAATACAAGAGAAGCTGGTCATGGTGGGACATGACTTAATCACATATTCTTGGGAATTAAGAAGCAGGAGGATTTCAAGTTTGAGCCTAGCTTGGGAAACTTAGTGACTTAGTGAGATCCTGTGTCAAAAAAAAAAGTTAAAAATAAAAAAAAAGACTAGGGATGTAGTTCAGTGTGATGGCCTTGTGTTCAATATCCAGTACCACAAAAAAGATAGGAAAAAACCCTTAACATACGGATAGATTAAAAATTTTAAGATGTTTATATATTTAAAAATTGACAGAAACATATGCAAAACTTGAAAATATATTTGACGAATATTTGAGAATATTCAGTAAATTAATAAATCAGTAAATTACTAAATTAATAAATGCCCCAAATACTTTAATAAAATAATAATCAAAAGAAGTGAACAGAAACCATAGAAGATATATGACTGTCCTAGAAACAAATGAAAAAAGGTCACTTTTGCTAAAAAGTAAAATATATGGAAATTCAAACAGCTATGTGAGCACTGGGAATGTAGCTAAATGGTAGAGTGCATGCCTAGTATCTGCCAGACCCTGGGGTCTATCCCAGAACTGGAGAGAAAAAGAAGTAGGAAAAAAGTGAGCTGGCCTTTTTAAAGGACATAACCAATTATCAGAGACCTGTGCAGTAGGTTCTGATCTCCTGCTTGGTGCTAGGGCACAAGACTGAGAAAACAAAACAAAACTAAAAGACAGAACTAAAGAGACAGAGAAACCGAGGAGCCAGGGTGATCGATGCTGCTTAACCACCAGAGGCACTGGTCAGTCCAAGCCACTGATTTTTATTGGTAATCTGTTGGGGTAAAGGCGAACTAAAGGGGAACTATGTGCGAGGATGTGCAGTCATGAAGTTACTATGGATACTAATGCAAGTAAGACTTGTAAAGAACAAGACAAAGGATTCTCAAATTAGGAACAGAATAGATAAAATATCAAGTTGTAATTAGAACCTTGTCCTTCTAGTTAAGAACATTTTAGTCCTGGGAATGGAATTTGGGTATGAGTTACTCTGACCTTGGCTACTATTATTATCTCATATTAAGGTGCTTCTGTGTTTTTGCTTCTTAAAATAAGCCAATTTGAGGGGTTTAACTCTTTACAGCCTGTATTGCTTACAGCATGCTTTGGGCATAATCATTATTGCAGTCCCCTGCAGAGGAGTGTGAACAAATCTGATAATACTGAAATGGATAAGGATGCAGGCACGTACAGAATGCCAGTACAATTGTCAATTAAATGGAAGTAGGATGATAAATTAATTGAAGGACAATTTGGCTATATATATTAAAAGCCTTCAAAATCTGCAAACTTTCTTTAAGTTTAGGTTTATTGAGTTAGAATTGATGAATAATATAATTCACTCTTCAAAATGTACAGTTTGATGTGTTTTGATACTTATATATCATGTAGCCATTTTGTTTCATTCTCGAAAATTTTCTCATTCCTCATTGCATTCAGTCACTTTCTCTTGCCACTAGGCCCTGGCAGTAATTTCTTCCCTTGTATTTTTACTTTTTCAGAAATGTTATATAAATAGAAATACAAGGCATATGCTATCTTCATTCACTTAGTATCATATTTAATGCTTTTCAAATTTATCTTTATACTTCATTAGTTTATTCCTTTTTGTTGATGGATACTATTCTATTGAAAACTACCACTTTTTAGTCTGTTCACCTGTTGATGAACATTTGGGTTGTTTACTGTTTTTTGATAATTATGAATAAAATAATTTTTATGTGTAGGCCTATTTTTTAATTTCTTTTGGTAAATAACTCAGAGTATAATTTGTGGATCCTGTGATAATGTATGTTTAACTTAGAAACTGCTGAGCTGTATTTTGGAGTGATTGTACCATTATATAATTCCTGTGTGTGATAATTAATTCCATTTACTCTGCATTTTGGTTTAGTTTTCTAAATTTTCTCCTTCATAGTAGGTGTTAGTCATATGTAGTAGTTTAAATTTGCATTAGTCATCTCTAATGATTAATGATTTTGAGCAAGTTTCATGTGTTTGTTTGCTATTCATGTTTTCTTTGACAAACATACCCATTTAAAAATTGATTTCTCTTACTGAGTTGTGTGAAATCTTTGTATAGTACGTTGAGGATAGGAGCTTTTGTCAGATGTTTGTTTTATAGAAACTTCCTGCATCTATGGCTTATCTTTTCATTCTCTTATCAGTGGCTTTCAAAAAATGGTTATGCTTAACTATGATGATGTTAAAGTAATGATTTTTTTCTTTTATGATTTGCATTTTTTGGATTCTAAGTCAGGGTCACAAATGTTTTATCATAAGTTTTCTTTGAGAGGGTTTCTAGAACTCTTACATTTAGATTCCTGATTATTTTGAAGTTAAGTTTTATATTTGATGTAAGGTACTAATAAAAAGTAAAAACAACAAAAAACCATCTTACACATTAAAAAAAAAAGATTTGTCCCAGTACCATGTGTTGGGATGAATATTCTTTCTCCTTGACACTTCTGTAAAAACTCAGTTGCACACACACACACACACACACGCACATGCACACACAGGTCTATTTCTGGATTCTCTGTTCTAATATTATATGGCCAGTATTATATTATCTTTGTATAGCTTTATAGTCTTGAAATTAGGTAGTATGAGTCTTCCAATTTTGTTTTTAATACAAATTGTTTTAGTAGCTATTCAGGCCACTTTGGGATTCCATATATAATATTTTAGAATCAGTTTTTCAATTTCTATTGAATAACTTCCTAGGATTTTGATAGGATTGGATCATGATAAAGTATAGATTTCTTTGAGGAAATAGATATTTTAACAATATGGAGTCTTTTGACTGTTGCCAAGCTGATTCATTTGGGAAAAGATGATCTTTTTTAATACTTATTTTAAAATTTTTATTAATAAAAAAATTTTATTTCTGATATGATTTTTTTTTTTATTCTATTTGGAATTATGATAATTTCCAAATATTTCTGTGTTTCCAGGTCTTTCTCTGCTATCAACTTTTAATTCTGTTTTGTTCAGTGAATAACTATATGATTTTAGTGCTTTCAAGTTTATTGAGAATTATTTAATGTCTGAAAATATGGGCTAGCTTGATGAATGTTTCATGAGCCCTTGAAAAGAATATGTATCCTGCTGTTTGTTTTGGTGTAGAATGCTTAATAAATGTCAACTAGGTAAAATTAATTGAATTGTTGAAATTTTCTATATTCCTACTGAGAAGGGTCTAGAAAACTTTAATTCAAATTATGAATGAGTCTCTTCTTTTTTTCCTGTCAGTTTCTGTTTCCTGTATATTGGGATTCTGTTAGTGGTTGTGTATGTGTTTAGGATTTTAATGTCCTTTTTATGAATTGATTCATTATAAGATGTGTATCATTACCTCAGGTAATATTTCTTATTTGGAAATCTACACTGTCTGATATTCAGATAGCCACATCAGCTTTCTTTTGGTTAATATTTGCATTGTATATCCTTTTCCTCCTTTTACTTTTGATCTGTCTTTGTTTATTTAAA